GGCCTTCTGGGAAGCGGCATCCCGTCGATGGATCTATGTATACTATACTATATTCTACCCTTCTGCGAGGGCTCGGCCATTTATGCAGGTATCTCCCGCTCCCTATTTGTGTCACTCCTCGGGGGAGTTTGCTCAAGGATTACCCTCCACTCTCCACTCTCCACTCGCCACTCTCCACTTGAGATCCCGACTCACCCTCGCCTTTCCTTCGGTCCAAAGTCTTTGATCTTTTCTTTCCGTCTTCTTTTTTGTGTTCGTAAATATTTCTTAAGTATTTAATTGTATGTTTCAGAACTGCTTTTTTTTTTTTGTTTGTGGGGGGCCATCGCTATCTGAACTTGTCCCCAGCCACTCGACAATATCGAATAACAAATATTGATCGCGAGTGTGACAATGATTTATTTGCCTTACGCCTAACGCGCTCGAGATCTTATCAACCAGATAACGATCTGGAAATTATAATATTTGACTTACGGTCCGAAAGTCAATAGGCATGCTATCTGTCTGTTGCTGGGGTCTTGATTAAATATTTAAGTTACCTAGCTTGTTGATTTCTAAAAGGGAAGAAGAAACTACTTTCAAAACATGGAGCATGTCTCTTGTTAAAATATGTTTACAACCTATAAGATGTGCCTATATTACAATTACATAACTTGTTCACATTAAAAAACCTTGTCCAAAGATTAAATTTAATGAAACATATCCTTATAATATTGAGAAGCAAATGAGTATCATTACGTCCACTGAAATCATCTTTGAAAAAAAAACATAAAGCGGTTAATTCTCCAAGAACAAGATAGCTTTTTCCAAGATGCAATTTACTTGTTTACCCTGATAATTAAGATGCTGCCGCTTATTGTCAATTTCAAAGTTTAAGCTACTGGTTTTTGTTTTCTGAAGATGTTTTCCTCTTAGTTTTGGCCATGTCAATTTGATAAATGTTTGCCCCTTGTCTGTGTGGATGCCACAAATATTTGTGTTTGTTTTTCGTGAGCAGTTGTGAAAAAAGCGAAACGGACATCTCCCGGCATGACTAAACAAATTTATTGCCCACTGGCAGCGAAGCCTTCTTCTTCAAAATGCCGCCAATGTTGCTCAACTTCCTGTGCAAAGTGTGTGCGTTTCGGTGCGAGTGTGTTTGCCTTACAATTGGCACAGCGAACGGAGAACGGAGACTTTGGGGGAGCGGGAGGGAGAGGGGGGAAGGGGGGGGACAAGCGATTTCATTCATGAATTCATATGTATCTTATAGATACAACGAGCGTCGGGCGAATACATGGCCTGCATCGATAGTGCGGCATTGCCATAAATGAGATTTCAGCTTGTGTGATTTTGTGTCGCCGGACTTAGGGCAAATAATAAATAAATATCGATGGACAGGCCGAGCGGGTAGATAAATGCAGCTATGAGATACCCTAAGTCAAAATAAAAAAAAGATACAAGCACTGGATGATGATTTGTGGTGAACACATGTAAACGAATCTTTGCGGGTAAAAATAGAAGAAAGTGTTTTCCTTGTAAATTCATTTGATTTATGGGGGAATTCCGTAAATGCAACTTTCAACAAAAATCATAAATATCCCGTCTTTCATTGAATTTGAGGCTTGCTTTACAATTTGTAAAGAATTATGAAGAAATATTAAAAGCAATAAGTATGTCAATAATCTAAAATGTAAACTCCTTGCTTATCTTAAAAGTCGTAAAAAAAAAACTTAACAAGTTACGAGTGAAAAATATTTCCTAAAAAATAAACTTATCTTCAGTTATATAGATAATTGTTGAGAATTTTTTCAATTGAACCCTAGTAAACGATATCAACTATTCGCTGTACCCTCGAAGCAAAGATCGTCGTTGAGTAAGTAATTCTCGGCTCCATTTGGCATTCATATCATGAATGAAAACGTCATCCCCTGAAAGACAACGCAGACCTCCCAGCAACAAGAAAATAAAATTTTTTCCAGAGAAGTAAATAAACAAAAATAATAACAATAATCGCGCTGGCCAATTTGCATAGCCGCCAAAAAAAGAGAAGTAAACGCACTTCAATCGCTCGCCAGCTTCGTTAGACGATTTTAATGTCTTAATATATTTCGTTAAATTGAGTCATTAAAATAAATCGCCATCGACGATGATGATGACGACGACGACGACGACCACAAAAGACGCTGACGATGTCGGCGCCATCACGATCGATCGTTTGCCACAACTTTCCAGAGGAGTTCAGGATGGGGCAGAGTCAAAAGCACGTTACAACCGAGCCCCGAGAGACTTTACGAGAAATAATTGAGATGCACACACACACACACACTTAAACACACACATTGAGAGGGCAAAAACAAGAGGAAAACCAACTCGGTGGGGAGCGGTGGGGCAAATGGGGGAACAACAACAGAGCAAGACACGCCACGCGGTCGCCGAGCAACTGCATCTGCAACTGCAACAATGATGAAGACATCAAGCTGTAAAAAAGCATCAGAGAACCAGCGAGAAAACTCGAGGCGGTCCACACAGAAAAATTGGCTTTGTTTGTGGTGTTTGATAAAAAGATTTAAAATGATTAAATAATTATCATAAATAGATTTAAAAGAGTGCTTTTTATGCAAAGATCAAAAATACTTTTCAATGTTTGAACAGAACCACAGAAAAGTTACCAATTTAAATAAAATTGTGTTGATAGAATAGGGTTTTTTTTATGTTTTGGTTTAATTAATACAATTTTCTAATTTTCAGTGTGGTGGCAAACAGTTTTGCAGCCACTGCTTAAGCAGCAGAGGCAACAAATACAAAACGCGTGCGTCAGTGAAATTTTTCCTTTACCTCGGCGTTTTTTCGCTTTTTGGGCCACCCGCACTCAATGGCCCAAACCAAACCCGAAAAACGATCTCTGTCTGCTTCATTTGCATCGGCGGCAATAACAACAGCAAACCGAAATGCTTTTGGCAACGACAATGGGTATAATGATTGCTTACTGTTCTTTTTGAGTTAGAAAACTTAACAACGAATTCGGGATACTCTGAAGGCAAAGTACTTTTGTATTTAGATAAGGGAAGCAGGATATTGGAAGCTGTAGATAACTGAAATATCTTGCTTTTAAAGCTTAAATACAGTTGTGGTTTTAAGAAACGAAAAGCAAGATCATATTCTTCAAGCTTCAGGACTTGCCAATTTTAAAAAATTATTTGTACAATACTCAATGTTGAAAATGCCAAAATTTTCAGCTAATAAACAGATTATTTGAAATGTAGATTGCGCATTACGTCACGCATGTTTCTAATCAATCTGCCGAGAGTTCCCAACCAAAGCCGCCCCAAAGCCCGTATCAAAGAGCATCTGAGAAATGCTGGGCATGGGCGGTGGGGCAGGGCTGCAGGGGAATGGGAGGGGGGGGCCCAAAGAGGGGTCTCTGGGGAGTGGGAGTGGCTTTGGGAGGGGGAGGGGGAGGGGAAGAAGGAGGGGGAGGGCGATGGCAGTCCAGCCAGCAGCAGCACGTACGAAATGACTCTCGCGGAGACCTCGGCGCCCACCCATGTTGGACGATCTCACAGATACGCACCAACACCAGCGCACCGAAGGCAAGTTGTTGCTGGCGTTGTTTATTATTTTTTTTTGCTGCGGCTGCTAAAGCTTTTTGCCTTTTGCCTTTTCGGCTGCTTTCCACTACTGGATCTCCTGCTGCTGCTGCTGCTGCTGCTGCTGCTGCTGCGGCTGCCTTTTTGCCCAGTCTTTTTGCCGTTTTCTGTGCCTTGCTGTTTTTGGCGCTCGCTGCAGTTGCAGTTGCAGTTGCAGTTGTTATTGTTTCTGCTTTGCGGTCAGGCCAACTCCGCACAGTAGCGCCAACGTAATGAAGTTGTCTGTGGATATGTCCGTCTGGATCGGATCGTTGGGTCCCGCGATCGCGGTCTCAAGTCTCAAGTACGAGAGTCCTGCTGTGTGTCTGCGCAGCGAAAATAGTTGTAGATTGATGGCAGTGCACGGAGAAAAATGGCCAAACCAAATTGGTAACACATTTTGTATGTGAAGCTACGAGGTCAACTAGGATTATTGTTGCAAGACTCATAAACCATTTAACAATACCTTTTTTTTTTGACTATTATAAGTTTTTAAGCCTTTTTTTTATAAAAATAAAATATTCTCTTGTTCAAAGCTATCAACTGATTTTGCGACCAATCGCTTTATTAACAAATGTCTTTATATAAAAGGTAAATCCTCCACGCTTTTTAGATTTAAAAACAAAATTAGCATATAAGCCGATTGGCTACATATTGGGCATCGATTTTAGCTAATCACTGTAATTAATAGGCTGCCGAGCCAACCAAAATCAGACAACTCTATTAACCAGAGAATCCAGCCAAAGAAAACGAAACGAAATGAAATCGAATCGACTGGAGAAGAAGACATCGACAACGAAAAAACGCGAAAAATATTGCGAGAGATATTGGCAATAAAATTTATTGAAATCTGTCCCGGCGACTTAATGGCCGCATTAAACAAAGGCCGCAGTGCTTGGGCTTTACAGTCGAACTTCTACAAAACATACCTTTCCTTTATCTTGTTTTTTTAGTTACAGCAGAAGGAAAAGCTTCAACTCTTATTTTTTGTAACAAAAAATCATTTTTGCTTGCTCTCATATTTTTTTTAAGAGTTTTTTGATTTTGAACTATAAAAAATAATGCATCATTCGGTGTATAAAAGACTTTTCACTTTAAAATTGTATCAGTAAATTAAAATGGTGTTTTTAAAACTTAAAAAAAACATTTTAGTTGAATTTTCCCTCTCTTATTTTTAATTTTAACTGAGTTGTATGTATGAATTTCTTAACTTTAAAAAAGAGTTTGATCAATTTTCCGAAGAAGTATAATAAAAGTTAGCAACATATTCGGTTAAAAAATGCATTTTATATGCGATAAAAAAAACTTAAAAAACTAAACCAATATTATATTAAAAAATCCTTAGTAGTTGATGTCTGGCTTATATGGTTTCCACTGTATCTGGACACTCACCTTATCTATCTGATCGAGCGCCACTTGGGCGTCCACCCAGCTGGTGCGTATGTAAAGATCCGAGAATAATTTCTCATCGACCACATCGCCGTGTGTGTCCGGAACGCGTGGGAGGCTGTCGCGGTCCATTATGGTTATGTTTACAGCCGGATTCCGGACGGAATCGAGTGAAGAAGTGCAGGGGTGCGTTTGGGTCTTTCTATAGTGCCTGCCGTTTGTCTGCGTCCCGAAACTGAGACTTAGGAGGCAGTGTGCGGATAGTTCGTGGACTTTCGGTTCGATCAATTGTTATTGGGATCTCGTATTTTGTTTGGCTGCATTTTGCACTGCACTCTGCATTTTTTCCTTTTCTTGGTTTTTTCCTTCTTTTTGATGAAGAAGAGTCGCTCTCCCCCGCTCGTTAGCTCTCTCGCTCTCGCACGCTGTGTATCTGAGCTCTCTTTGTGTTGTTTGGTTTTGTTGTGATTGCTGGCTTCGCTTTTGCTGGGTTTTTTCGACGATTCAAACGCGGTTTTCGGATTTTATCTTGGACACAATTTGTTTGGGGAATTTGACAGAATTTTCACACATCATTTACACATGGAAAAGCGACAGGCGGACGCCTCACGTTTTCGGTTTTCGGTTTTCGGTTTTCTCTCTCGCCTTTCGCTCTTTATTTTTACTTTACTTTGCTTTACACTTCGCGACGCACACACACATTAACACTGGCTCGTTTTTGTTGTTGCCTGGCATTTAATCCATTAACTTCGCTTCGCATCCGTGAAGTACAATTTCTTAGCTTTACTACGAGTTCTGTGCCATATATCTTGTTGGTATACCACACACAGAGTGCCAGCAGTCGGAAATGGAAATGAAAATGGAAAGGTAAGTCGCCGCGCTCCGCACTCACAACCGTTTCGTTTGAGGATCGCTCGAATTCTGAGAGATGTATCTGTATCTCGTGGATGCGGCACGCCAGTCGGCCAACAACTTCATTAAAAGAGCGTGCGCCAGACTCTCTCTGGCTCTCGCCCCCGTGTGTGTGCCACATTCTGCGCCGGTGTGTGTGAGCAACCGACTAACAGACAGTTCTCTCCTAGCTCCGGCTCTCTTCTCGCTCTCTTGAGCCGTATGCGGCCATTTTGGTTTGAGCACGCTCTCTACGAGGGCCGATACAACAGTAGCTCATTCTCTAAAATACCGAGGGGTGTTTTAAGAGTTTTTAGAAAAAATACCAAACTTGCATTGCATGTTAGAAACAAATTCTTCTTAATTTAAAAGATATTATCATTTTATTATCCGGTTTTAAACTTATAATAGGGATATTAATTATTTTTCTACAGTTGACAACAACCAGTCTTAAAATATTAAAATACAGGTTTGATTTATTTTTAAAGACACATTTTAAGGCATTTCATAAGTTTTTTTCTTTTGTTGTTGTTTAAGATTAACACTTAAACCTTTTTTTTCATACTGAAAGGCTCTTCATGCATGCTGTTTTGATTTTTTATTAATTAAATATGTATGTCTTAAGTTTTTAATTTTTTATATCGTAAAATATTATTTCATAATCATAGAATATATATAAGTCTAAGGTTTTTCTAGATGACCTCCCTCTAACATTCACTTAAAAGCTTGCTAATTTCTATTCTTGTTAATCGCTTGTCGTTGTTTTTGTTTTCGCCGAGACCACCTAAAGAGATTTGGCTGCTGTTTTTTTTTTTTGCTGCCACGGTGGTTTATTTTATTGCAGTGTGGATGGACCACCCAAAAATGAATTTGTTGCTGCCTTCATTAAACTGAAACCGCCGAGCGTTGTGGGTGGTCGCCCCACCCCACTCCTTTCCTCTGCCGGCGTCGGCCTTCAGCGTCGGCAGCGCTAACCACTGGAGCTTTCATCTCTGTGTGTGTGAGTTTGTTTGTTCGTGGGGAGCGCGTGCGTGGCAGGCTGCGCCTGTATGTGTGTTCGTGCCGCTAACTGTTGGCAAATTTGTTAGCTTTACATTGCTTATGTTGTTGGTTTTTATAGTTGTTGTAGCCCAATGCGCTGATGTTTGTTTTTGCATGTTCCCGATGCTAAATTATGAGCGGCAGGATGTTTTTGCTTCACCCTTGTCTTTGCCTTTGTTTTTGCAGCATCTTCGCCCCACGTATCTTAAATATTCGAGGGATTGTGATGGTGTATGTGTGTGAGGGCCACCCAAGTTGAAACGCTTTAGTTTTGCCGGCGAATTAATTCAAAGATAAAATGATATGTCTATTAAACTACATTCTGGAAACTACACCGGAAAAATACACCTCGAAAAATTAATCAGTTGTTTTTAAGGGACAATCATTGTTAATGATACTCTAAACAACAAGTTAAGGTACAAAATATTGTTTGACCACATTCTAGATTTTATCTTTAAGAACAACCTTTATTTCAGGTCATAGAAATTAACTAATTAAAACCCCTTTAAAGAGGTCATAAAAAACTGAAAAAATATTAAAATTTATTAGTGAAGAACAAATTAAAAAGAAAAAAAGAAAGTAAAATTTTATTGGAGTACTTTAACTACATAGTTCTGTTCACTATAAATACATCTCCTGAAGATATGAATGGAAATAATTGAAAATGTGTGTTTTTCACTCAACCCCTGATTTCCCTTTCCAACAGAAAAAACATCACCAAAATAAACAAAAATAAAATACTCTTCAGAACAACCGCAAAAATTGGCGCTCGAATCTTCAACTCGAAATTCAAATTCGAATGCAACTGCAGCATCATTGTGTCCCCTCTCTTTCATCCTCTTTGGATGCGAGAAAAAGAGAGGGAGAGAGAGAGATGGGGATGCCGGGGGAGACGTGAATGTGGACCCACCACCAAGCGGGCTATTATAATCAAAAACAACAACTCTTTCTCTAACTCGATCACCTGAACTAACGTTGCATTCATGTGTTGCACTCTCTCAGCAAGCTTACTCGAACTCTCCCTTCCTCTCTCACTCACACTGCGTGTGGGGCATTTTGGCGACATGGGCGGCATTTTTTTCTCCAACATGCATATTTTAGCTTTATACCGCTCTCCCGATCTCCCGAGATTGCGCCATCTTTGGCTGGCTCTCGAGTTTTTGCTCTCAATGACTTGCAGTTTGTTTTGCTTTCGCTCAATTCGCCTGCAGCTCCAATTCCCCAAGAGAGATAGAGAGATACTCTCACACATACATACACGTTGCGCCTGTGTGGCGGCAGCTGCCAATGGACCACCAACGAAGCGCAGTTTGCTTTGAGAGCTTCATTTGCCGTTTCGTTTGGAGTTGGCGGGGATAGGAATGGGGCGAGGCAAGGGAAAAATGGGGAGAAAAGGGGGAGAGGCGGAAACGCTGTAGTTGCTGCTTTTATGGCTGGAGTTGAAGTTTGGATATCTTTTTTGCCCGCCTGGAAGCTTAGGCAGAATTTTATGGGGGCTGGTCCATATCTTCATATCATTCACTTTTAAAAATAATATAATTAGGCCGTTTTGAAAACCTAAAACAACCTAAGAATAATTTGACTTTTCAAATAAAAATGAAAATGTAATACCAAAAATTTTGAAATGTTTTGTTACATTATGGAAGAAGTTTTTATAATTTTTACTAAAAATAATCAAATTGAAGATTTTTTTAAAGTTTGACAAAAAACAAATACTCGCGTACACGTTCCTAGATCTCTAGTAAAACAAAATTTTACATGAATGGTAAATGATTTCGTACGTTTGTGTCTTCCAATAACCCGTTAAGCTGCGTTCTAACCCTGATCTCCTCGCTTAAATCTTCTTTCTCTTTCGCTCCTTCGGCGACTTTAACGACAGGCTGTTTGTTTTTAATCGTATAATGTCTTAATTTATAGTGCAGCGTTGCCTAGACCTCGACTTGATACACAATCCCCACGTCCCGCTAACCGAGCTCCACAGCAAAGCAATTGCATTTGTCATTGGCCTATAGCGCCATTAACATTACCCGGCTAGTTGTGTTCCTGTGGCTTCCCCTTTTTCCCCTTTTTCCCCACCATAACCCATTCACGAAGACTACTAGAAAAAAATTTATGACCGTATTGGATTATGAAATCAATGTTTACGACCAACGTGGTCAACGTGGTTTTAAATCTCTGTTATCTTTTTTTATGTTTTATTTAAACTTTTTATCTTCTATATTTAATAAACTTGCCAAATATAGATAAATAATATGTTTTTCTGATATTTTCGATTTAATGATAGGTGTTTTATTGTTATATACGCCTTTGTAAATATTAGGGAATTGTTTCTTAAGTTTTTTATAATTATGCTCCGTATTATAAAACAATTGTTTTCGGTGCACTGCTGCACCGGCACTTAAAGTTTACCTGCATTTGCAGTCGCGGAGTGGCGGCATTTATGGCTAAATGTTGACGTCGCTGCTGTATTATTGCGGTGCATTTAATGTAATAATTACTATTTGCCACCGGTAATACGTAGGCCCGCGATTCCGATTCCCCAGCGACATGGCGTGTGTGGTTCGTCCGGCTCCTTTTGCCCCCGATGTCCCGATGCCTGCGGTTTGGGCCTGGGTTTGCGTTTGCGTTTGGGGTAACTCGTTATCTTGGCGTCGGCTCTTGCGGTTGGGTCTGCGATCTGGGGGACCGGACTGGACCGGCTGGGTCTAAAACTTTGCCTTCGCTCGGATCGGATCGGATCGGCTCGGTTCGTTTGTTCATGTAATCAACCGCCCGTCCAACGGCAACCGGCAACTGGCAACCGACATCACCAACTGAGGAACTGGGGAACTGAGCAGTCTGCCCCCGCCCCCCCGTCGGTGTGTGTGGCTTTTCCAAGCTTCTTGTGTGGTCCTGTCAGGCTTTCAGCTCTGCTTCCCCCATGCACCGCCAAAAATATTTGAAAAAAAAATTTTTGATTTAATAAAACAAAATATATGTAATTGGTTCAAATAAAAAAAATTAAGATTTTTTGAATATCGTTCAGCAGTTGGTAGAGCCACTTCTTCCAACACACAGATTTACGTCCATTGTAGATAAATACTTTAAAAAGCTTACCAAGTTAGAAAAAACAAATTCCGAAACCCATTGAGCCTTCTGGTTTATAATCGTTCTTGTTCAGTTCTATCAAATGTAAATACAAATTAAACATTTTTCGGGAACCTATAACAAGAAGGTATTATTTTTTTTAAGTGTGTTTATGTCCCAAACGTTACGCCCCAACCCTACCTTAGTCTCGATCTGGGACTGTTTTGGTTTTGGATTTTGTTTTCGATGGGTTTTTGTTTTTGTTTTTTTTTTTGCCGCACAATACCGATCGATGGCTTTTCGGTTATCATTTGGCGAACCCACGCGTGGCGACATTTCCACAAGAAGTTTATTTAAGCCCGAATTGAAGGAGCCTTGCTGGTGGCCAATTTATTTGAAAGTGTGATTAAGTGGGCTTGCGAAATTTAATTGTTCAAAACGGGCCCAAAAAGTGTTTGTTATTTTCTAAGAAAATATTATTAAAATTACCAACTTAATAGCCTATTATTTAATAATGTTGTAAATTTTGGTTCAACCTTATATCGAACAGATTATTGGAAGAACACAAATTAAGATGAACAAACTGACATGGTTATGTTCTCTTCGATTCCGATCTCCTCGCAATGCCGGCTGCAAATCCCCAACCCATTAATTCCCTCGTAATCCCCGCTCCTCCGACATCAGTTAAGCTCATCGCATAACCCTTTTTGAAGTCGGATGTGTTAATGTGACTGCAACGACGATAACGACAATGAAAAGGGGCGGAGTGTGGTGGGGGCGAAGGAGGCCAGCCAACAACAAGCTTAAGATAGATATAAAAGTAAGACGATAAGCCCGGAACGTCAGTGTCTCTGCCTGTCGACGTTGTCGAATCCCCGGAGATTGGAGATATATCCGGGGAATGGGTGGACGGGTGGGTGGAAGGGAGAGGGTGGGGGGG